CAGGGCTCGGCCTCCGCGCTCCAGGCCCCGCCCCCTCCGGCTCGGGCCGCTTCCTCCGCGCAGCCCCCCGAGGCCCACGTGCGCAGAGCACTCCGCCCCCTGCTGGGCCCTGGTGGAAACAGGGAGCCCATGGCCGTGCCGTCCGCGGGGGAAGTGAGGGGTTCAAGGTCAACTGTGCTGAGCCTCCCAGGCCACTCGCGGGGAAAACTTCCAAGGCGACGGGACCACTCGTGATGCACGGGAGCCGAGCGCTGAGGGCGTGGAAGAGGCCGCCAGGGGCCGTCCAGCTGCTGAAGAAACTTCTTTCCAGGCTTCTGCCCGGGGAAATTTATGGAGGTTGTGACCTCTGGCTTGAGTTGCTGTTAAGTATCATGGAGTTGGAACAGACTCAGAGCTCACCCTCCAGCAGGTTTTCAAAGGCTGTCAATCCCATGGGAGGATATTCCCCTCTTTTCCCCGAGGAGCAACTGGTGTATTCAAATTCATTGCTGTAGGCTTGGCAACATAAACTCTTTATCCACTAAGCCACCAGCATTCTTTTGGGAACTCTGAAAGGAATTGGCAGAAAGACCCTGAATTTAACAAAGGAGAGATAAAATTTTACTACTGAAATGGAAGGTTGCTTTCCAAAAGGGAGCCTCAGTTCTGTGGAATTGGAACCAACTCAAAGCTGCCCTCCCCTTTGACATTGCCCATCTTTCTCCCATAAAGCTCCAGGTAGATTCAAACAACCAGAGAGGCCTGGCCTTTAGGTTACAATTACAATTATTTTTTTATTTATGTTTTTCTCATTCATATACATTGTGTTTCACACATGTACATTGTGTTTCATGTACATTGTGTTTCATACAGTCTTCATTTATATTGCATTCACTTATATTTTGGGTTCTCCCCTTTATATTCCTACTTTACTCAAAACGTGTAAGTCAGCGACTTCATGCCTCATACTATAATATCCCCATTTTGTATAGCCAATTTCTGATTTGTCCCTTTGGTGGCTTACTGACAAGAAGCTGTGCTGCAGTCACAAATGACACAGTTCGAGGCCACCAGCTGCTCCAGGAGAAAGGCGGACAGTCTCCTTCCCTGCAATTAACTGCCTCTGAAAACCGGCTGGCAGGTCAGGTATGGGTCTTTTCCAACTCAATGGTACACAACAACAACTACATCAAATTCTGAGGAAAGAAGGATGTTCCTTTCGCAGAAGGCTCTCTGTTCACCTTGGAAACTTTGTAATGCATCTATAAGCATCGTCCAGTCCAGAGCAGAGCAAGCCATCTGGCTGCAACAATCTACCCCAGGTCACAGCATAGATCATGGATCTTCTCTTCATCTGGTTGGATTCTGGTTAACTCAGCCGCAGCCATCCATGACTAGGTTCAAATGGGCATCAGCTGCAAACTCAGGAGTCCAGACTTCTCCCAGCATTCCAGACCTGTTGAACTCCTCACTCAGCCGTAGCCCCTACTTGGAGCCAAGACAAGTAAAAAACAGCCACCAATACAATTCTTGCATTATTTTCCCCATTCTACTTTTTTATTTAGTTAGTTTTCAGATGATAAATTCATTGCCTTCCAGTCCATTCCAACCCAGGGTGCCCTTCTGTTTGTTCAGAGGCTATGAATCTCTCAGAGAGGGAACTGTCCACATTTCTCCTCCTCTGGTGGACTCCAGCCTTTATGTCATTCTACTTCAGTCAGGCTAACACCCTATGCACGATGCTGCCAGTGCTGCTTTTATGATGATAATGTATGTTGTCATTGTGTACCATAGAGATAGAACTGACCCATAGCGGATGCTTGGGTGGGTTTTCACAGGCAGTTAATCACTTCGGAGTAAACTGCCCATCCTTTTCTTTCAGAGCAGCTGGTGGCCTTGAACCACTTGCCTTTGGGATTGTAGCACAACTGCTTGCCACTAGGCCACCAGAGTTCCTGAGGTATGTTTTAGGAGAAGATGGATAAATAGCATCTTAAGCAGTAAGGTCCTGGGCTAGGATCTTTGATGTTGACAGACAGCCCTGCCTTTAACTAATATGTAAATTTGCTTTCACTTTGAAAGGTGTAAACCAATCTCTAATAGCAATAAATCCTTCATCAAAATTTTTTATTATAATCATCTTTGCTTGCCATGTGTGCTGCTTTGAGATCATGGAAAAGGCTTCTAGCCTTACTTGCACAAAGGTTAAATGAGAACTGCATGCACCTGCACAGACTTACCTGCAACTTCAACTTAAAAATTAGAAGCAGAGCTTGTTTGTAAACAGGGACTGTCTGCATTGTGTCTTTTTATTTTGAAGAAGAGATCAGAAGCCTCACCTTGCTTGCTGTGTTTGTAAAATGGAGGGATACCCCACACACCCCTTCTAATATTTAGAAAACACCTGGAGCTGATATCCCCTGGCAGCTTCTTTAAATATATTAAAACAGTGTCTTACTCTGCTTTCCTCACTCTAATTGACAGCCACTGAAAGATGTTTTTTTCTGAAGTGGAGGCGTTTTAAAATTTAGAAGTCAAAGTGGGAGTAAAACATTTTCTAGAATAACTTTTGAAAAATAATGGAGCTTTTAGGAAGTTTCATGACCAACTAGTTTATGGCTTCTATGTTGAGTTAATCAGCCCTTCCAAAGCCCCTTCAGCTTGTTCTGACACACCTGATGTGCTTTAATCCTTAAGTGCAGCATATTTCCACACTTATATATACTACTACTTCCAGCCTCATTTCGGTCACCAAGTCCATACTTCTCAGCTAACATTTTTTCTTCATTATTTCCAACTTTTGCATTCCAGTCACCATTTAACATTACTGTGTCTTGATTGCTGTACTCTTTGATCCTCTGCAACGAGTGCTTCAAGTCCTTCTCGTTTTCGGCAAGTAAGGTTATGTCATCTCCATAATACAGGTTGTTGATGAGTCATCGCCCTATCATGATGCCACATTCCTCTTCATTCAGCTTCTGAATAAATTGCTCAACATAAAGATTGAATAGTTATAGAGAGAATGCAACCCTTAAACACTCCCTTCCTAATTATAAACCATGTAGTGTTCCCTTGCTCTGCTCTTACAACAGACTCCTGAACTAAGTATTTCTTTTGCATGAGCACAATTAAGTGCTCTGGGATTTATATTCTTCTCAATGTTAGCCATAACTTGTTATGATCCAGTCAAATACCTTTGCATTGTCAATAAAGCACAAAAAGACATTCTTCTGCTATTCTTTACTTTCAGCCAGGATCTATCTGACATCAGCAATGATAATCCTGGTGCCACAACCTCTTCTACATCTTGCTTGAACTTCTGGCAGTTCTCTCTCCATGTAGTGTTCGAGCTTTTTTTGAATGATCTTCAACAGTATTTTGCTTGTATATGATATTAATGATATTGTTCAATAATTTCCACATTCTATTGTATCACCCTTTCTTCAGAATGGGAACAGTCATGGATCTCTTACAACTTGTTGGCCAGACAGACAGCTGTCCTCCAAATTTCCTGGCGTAGACTGGTGAGCACAATCAGGCCTACATGTCTTAATTGAAACAAGTCAATTGGTATCCTATCCCTGGGTCCTTATTTTTTTGCCAATACCTTCAATGCACCTTTCACTTCCTCCTTCATTACTGTAGACTCCTGCTTATATAGTACTTTCTGAAATTTTTCAGTATCAGTCAGTTCTTTTTGGTACAATGATTCTGTGTATTCCCTCTATCTTCTTTTGATGTTTTCTGGGTCATTCAATATATTTCCCTTGAAGCATTTGTTGCAGAGGATCAAAGAATACAGCCTTCAATATGGATTACATCTCAATGTCAAGGAGATGAAGATTCTTACCATTGGACAGATAGGCAACATCATGAGAGATGGATAAAAGACCGAAACTGTAAACAACTTTGTCTTACTTGAATCCACAATTAACACCTTTGGTACCAGCAGTCAGGAAATTAGGAGATGCATTGCATTGGGGAAAGTCTGTAGTTAGGGACCTCTCCAAATTAGTGAGGACTAATCATGTCACTTTGGGGACTAAAGTGTGCCTGATTCAGGCTTTGGTCTTCCTAATCACTTGCTATGCATGTGAGAGCAGGACAAGAAATAAGGATGACAGAAGAAGAATTGATGCCTTTGAGTTGTAGTGTTAGAAAGTTGGAGGGTTGGTGAAGGAGGGAGAGGAAATCCCTTGACCAGTTGAATTGACTACTGCACTGGGCTCTAATGTGTAAGGAGGTGTGAGGACGGCATAGGATTCAGATCCTGTCCCAGATAGACAGTGTCCACATCTGTTCATTGAGTTGCTATGAGTGATACTTGACTCAAAAGGCACCTAACAGCAAAAACAACAACATCTTGATTGCATGTTTCATGAATTTCAGACTCAAAATTTGATAAAATTTTTTAGTTTCCAACTTTATGGCTTATGTGTAGAAGCACATGATTTGGGTAATATCCTATCACAACATTATATTTCAATATAGAACTTTAAATTGTCTTTTTAGCTATGAATGCAACACCATCCCTCCTCTGTTTTATATTCCCAGCCAACTATATGCCATGTGTCTGATTTAAAGTGACTAAAGCTAATTCATCTCATCTCACTAATCCTAGAATCATGTTGATCTTCATGCATTCAATTTTACTTTTCATGACTTCTAGCTTTTCAACATTCATGCTTTGTAGATTTCATGTTCCAATTATTAAGGAGGTTTGCTGATATTTCCCCTCATTTTGATTGACTTCCAATCTGGGCTCTACTTCTAATACTATAACTATCCTTGTTTCTCTACTATTCATAGGCTTTCCCTGCTTCCTAGTCTATCTTTATCTGGGAGCTCTTCTAAAACCTGTCCACCACAGGTGACCCATGTAGCATTTAAAACATAAGTGACATAGCTTTCAGCATTGAAGCAATCCATGAGTTACTTCTGTACAGCAAACTGACAGACAAGTGCAGTAATAATTAGAACAATGCATTCCCCAAATACAACAAACTGATAAATTAGCATTGTACCTCTAATAGCGGAGGTGTCCAGGACTTTCATTCACAGGGTTGCTATGAGTTGCCTGAGACTCAAGAGCACTTAACAACACCACCACCAACAACAGCATAGACAGAGAGAGAACAGTTGGCCTAGCGGACTGAAAGCCATGCTCCCAAGCCAAAGGTGGGTGACTCTACTCCGTGCACCTCAGGCATGCCTTTAATTGTTTTTGGTGAAACATTCTTCTAGGTCATGTAACCCTGATATATCCACTTACTGTACAGAGGAAACTCGTGGTTGCTGTGAAGCCAAACACTGTGACACTGATGAGTCAAATGCAAGAATGGTTACCCATGGTAGACAGTGTTTGGTGAAGCTCCCCGATTAAAACAAGCTTGGAAGCAGGAGTGGCATCCACTTCCACAATAGCTTGCCTCGGGAAACCTTATGAACCTGGAGAAAGGATGAAAGTTATACAGGAGGTGTCCAGGACTTTTGTTCTTAGGGTCCCTATGAGTTGCCTGTGACTCGATGGCACTTAACAACCCAACAACAACCTCTAATAGCAAAACAGGCATACAAATACCATGTTACCAGATCCAACTGAAGCCTGCATAGAGGTCTATATTAGTTTTCATACCAAAGAAAGGTGATCCACAGGATGTGGAAACTATTAAACAATATTGTTAATATCACATACAAGCAAAATACTGATGAAGATCACTTAAAAATGGCTAGAACAGTACATAGAGAACTGGCAGGAGTTCAGTCAAGAGTGAGAAGAGATTGTGGCACTAGGGATATTATTGCTGGTGCCAGACCCTGGCTGAAAGTAAGGAATAGCAAAAGAATGTCTATTTGTGCTTTATTGACTATGCAAAAGCATTTGACTTTGTGGATCACAAGAAATAGTTGTTAATTAACATTGAGAAGAATGGGAATCCTAAAACACTTGATTGTGCTCATGAGAAACCTTGATCTAGAACTGTTGTGGTAAACAAGCAAGGTAATACTGCATGGTTGAAAAGTAAGAAAGAAGTTTGTCCAGGTTGTATCCTCTCTATTTACCTATTCAATCTGTATGCTCAGTAAAATTATTCAAGATGCTGCACTCTAAGAAGCAGCATGTGGCATCAGAATCAGAAAGTTCATCAATTTTATCAGTTTATCAATTTACCTGTGTTGTGCAGATAACCTTGTTTACTGAAAGTGAAGAGCTTTTGAAATACTTGCTGCAGAAGTTCTAGAGTGAGCCTTCCATAAGGATTACATCTCAACATCAAGAAAACAAAACTTACCACTGAGCTGATGGGCAACATCAAGACAGATGGAGAAAAGACTGAAGTTGTCAGTGATTTTGCTTCTTTGGATCTACAACCAGTGGTCAGGGCATCAGGAGAGATATTGTATTTGAAAAGTCTTGAGCTAAGGACCTCTCCAAATTACTGAGGACCATTGATGTCAGTTTGAGGACTAAGGTGTGCCTGATTCAGGTCACAGTCATTTCAGTCATTTGCTATGCCTCTGAGAGCTGGACAATGAATAAGGATGGCAGAAGAATTGATGTCTTTGAGCTGTGGTGTTGGAGAAGAGCACTCAATATCCTATCCAAAAAACCCCAACTGTGTATGTTCTAGAGCAGCCAGAATGCTCTTCGGAGTCAAAGATGATAAAACTTCGTCACATATGCTTTGGGCATGTTGCTAGGAGAAGCTGTTCCTTGGAGAAGGACATCCTTCTTGGAAAGGTGGAGCATCAGCGAAAGAGCAGAAGACTTTCAACCAGATAGACTGACACAGTGACAGGTACAATGGGCTAAAATGAGTCAGAAAGTGTAAGGATGGCTCAGGATAGGACAGGGTTCAGATCTGTTGTTCTTAGAGTTGCTAAATTTCATATTCAACTTGATGATACTGAACAACAGCAACATATATTACTATAGATTATGTTTGGTTATTTCTTTAACTCTTAGATTTTCACTGATATAGTATTAAGTGTTAAAGTTATATAAGGTGATTTACAATTAGAATCATCACAGCTAAAGGCAGAAGAGTGATTGGGATCAATGGTTTTTCAACTTAAGTGCACATCAGGGTTTGCTAATACCTTGGAAGCTGTCTACAGAGGGGTTCTAATTCAGAAGAGCTGGGATAGAATCAGAGATTTGCATTCCTAGCAATTTAGGAAGCTCTGGTAGCTAAGGAGTTGCACTGTCAACCCAAACACAAGGGGTTAGAATTTACCTGTTGCTCAGATTAAGAACAGGCAATCACCTCCCATGATGTTTAAAGCTTCTGTAAACCTG